TAAAGTTCCACTTTAATTTAGTCAATCTTATTAATGGGTTTAATGTATTATAAAGCTTGTCTCTGTTTTATAGTTTCTAATATTGCGGCGGAAATCGCGTGACAATTCGCTATATGTGAACGGGGCCTTAGATGACGGGAATCCGCCCAGCTGCGTGAGTGACAGCTGGCTCTGCCTATCTAGAGGCAGAGCCAGCTGTACCCGCCCCTCCCCCGTCCGTTCCGCCAGTCAGCGCTGGCGGATCGGAGCGGGGAGAGGGGAATCCAGCCCCTCCCCTGTCACGGCAGAGAGCCGTGACAGGATCGAGAGGTGAGCGAACCCGGTATGTGATCGCTCACCTCCCGATCTACTGAGCTGACCTGTGACAGTCTCATTGTCACAGGTCGGCTAGAACTATGAGGTGAGTGAAAAGCACTCATCTCATAGTTCTCCTTTTAACTTTGTGTAAAAATTTATTTTAGCTTAGTGAAGGTTGTCTTTACTTTGATCCGGTATTTCATAAAACAGAATTTTTTGTTTTGCTTAATTTACCTGATTAAATCATTAACCCTTTCGCTGCCAAGGACGTATGGCATAATGATTTAGTCAAAAAATATTTTTTTTGTGCACGGATACTGATTTTGGTGTGTTTTAACAATTGAATTGTGTATTTTTATCGGTTTAATATTAATTTGAGAAACATTTGCGCAATTATCGCAGGGCCTACAAATTTAGTATCACCATCTTTTTATTCTACCGGGCCTGCGCTTTCAGAAAATATATGGTTTGGGGGGTCTTTTACAAACGCTAGCAACGCAGCAGTTGAAAATCAAATCAATAGGAAAAAATTGCAGAAAATTCAAAAAAGGCTTGGCCAGCTGATTTGAAAAATGTTCCGGAGGGCTTGGCAGCGAAAGGGTTAAGTAAACATAGCTTTGCCTTGTAGAACTAAAAGAACATTCATTTTCTCTTGTTCTTTTAGTTATTTTCTTTTCTTCTTTAAGGCATCAAATGTTTTGGCTGCCTAATGCACCAAAACAGAAGCAAGTACCATGCAAGGTGGTACGTTGGGTCCCCGCATCACACTAACACATGTAATCTACATGTGCCCTTACATTTAGCACTGTTGGGGTGGACATTATCATATATTCCTTACATGTGTTGGTGTGATGCAGAGCTATTCATTGAGTTCAAAGCAAAGAGCAGGCACACACATTGCATGGTGGTGCACTTCCAGAAATGATGCATGCATCTGTTTGGAAATGTCCAATTTTGACTGTCATGGTACATTGTCAGCCTGGTCAAAATTAATTTTACCTAGGCTGCCAATGTACTGCAACACAACCAAAAGGACATTCCCCATTTTTCTAATGCTTTTTACCTGTAAGCACAGCCTGTTGGCCACTATTGTATTGGGTTGGGATGCCATTCCAGTTGAATGGCACCGCAACGTGGTATGTGCATTTATGCGCGTTATAGAACACATTTTACGGAGTGTTACCACATCACATAAGTATGACTGAGCCCTTAGAGTAAACTTTCTATAACAGAAGTGTGTGTGTGTGTGTATGTATAT